CTACGTATCCTCTTGCCCAAGGAATCAAGCCGAACGTAGTTCATATTAATGGCCTCCAAAGGCCTCAGCACTGAAGGATGTTCAAAAGCTTCAAACAATGACCAAATTTCACTCCTGAAACAACTTTGGTCAACATATCTGCAGGGTTGTCATTTGTGTGGACCTTCTCCAATATGACATCTCCATCATCCAAGACGTCCCGTACAAAGTGGAATCTGACGTCGATGTGCTTCGTGCGCGCATGATAAACCTGGTTCTTCGCCAAATAGATAGCCGACATACTATCACAATATATCCGAATAGTCTCCTGTGCAATCCCCAAGTCCTCCAATAATCCACGCAACCATAAAGCCTCCTTAATAGCTTCAGTAACTGCCATATACTCTGCCTCTGTAGTAGAGAGAGCCACTGTGGACTGAAGCGTGCAACGCCAACATACAGGTGCACCTGCCAATGTAAAAGCATAACCTGACGTAGACCGGCGTTTGTCAAGATCTCCAGCATAATCTGAATCCACATAACCAATACAAGCCTGCCCGTCCTTCTCATCCTTCTGAAACACTAAACCAACATCCACGGTGCCTCGAACATACCGTAGAATCCACTTCACGGCCTCCCAGTGACCCTTCCCGGGGTCATGCATGTATCTCGATACCATGCTCACGGCCTGTGACAAATCTGGCCTCGTACACACCATCGCATACATCAAGCTACCTACTGCACTAGCATATGGGACCTTCGACATATAATCTCTGTCCTCAACTGAAACAGGTGACATCAACGCTGAAAGCTTGAAGTGGGGAGCCAATGGTGTGCTAACTGCTTTTGCATTGCCATCAAAGCTGAATTTCTTCAACATCTTCTGCAAGTAGCTCTTCTGTGTAAGCTTCAATTTCCCCTTCACCCTGTCTCGCTCGATCTCCATACCCAATATCTTCTTTGCCTCTCCAAGATCCTTCATCTCAAACTCGGATGATAACTCCTCTTTCAGCTTTCGAATAGCCGAAGAATTCCTGGAAGCAATAAGCATATCATCAACATATAAAAGCAAATATATGAGCTCACCATCCTGTAGCTTGTGCATATAAACACATGGGTCATATGGGCTCCTCGTGTACCCTCGGCCAATCATAAAGCCGTCGAATCTCTTATACCACTGTCTTGGTGACTGCTTCAAACCATAAAGAGACTTCTTCAGCTTACAAACCAAATTTTCCTTTCCTGCAGCTTTGAAACCCTGTGGTTGTGTCATGTAGATCTCCTCATCTAAATCACCGTGTAGAAAGGCTGTCTTCACATCCATCTGGACCAAATCCAAATCCAACTGTGCCACCAACGCCAATAAAATCCGAATCGACGAATGCTTCACAACGGGTGAAAATACCTCGTTGTAATCAATGCCCTCAAGCTGTGCATATCCCTTGGCAACTAATCTGGCTTTGAACCGAATGTCCCCAATAGAAGATCCCTCCTTCTTCGCATATACCCACTTGCAACCAATAGCTTTCTTACCCTTAGGTAGATGTGCAAGTGTCCAAGTGTCGTTCTTCTGAAGAGATCGTATCTCCTCCTCCATAGCTTCCCTCCACCTGATCGAATCGGGGCTAGACTCTGCCTCCCTGAATGTGGCTGGAACCATATCATCAACGACCTCCACTGATAATGCATATGCGACCATGACATCATTATACCTAGCTGGCCGACGAATCTCTCTCCTCGGTCTATCTGCTGCAATGGTCCTCTGAACATGACCCTGTTCCTGAGTCCCATGATCTACTGTATCCTGTATCTGCCCATCTGTCATCTCATCTCCTCCCAGTGTCACCTCTGTAGGAGCCTCAATGGATACAGTGTTCTCTGGAGTGGGTGGAGTCACATCACCCTCCACCTGCTGCGATATCTCTCCTGTCTGGTCTCCCTCCACCTGCTGAGGGGCTCGAGGCCTCATCATGTACGCCTCGTCAAATGTGACATCTCTGCTAATAACTATCTTCTTGTCCTGTGGATCCCATAACTTGAAGCCTTTGAATCCATCCCTAAATCCCACAAAGACTGATTTCCTCACTCTCGGATTTAATTTGCCATCACTGACATGATAATAAGCTGGACACCCGAATATCCGAAGCGACTCATAGTCACTAGCCTCCGAACCAAACCAACGCTCCAAAGGAGTCTTCCCGTCTATCGCAGTGCACGGCAACCTGTTCACAAGATGGCTCGCATAAACCAACGCCTCGGCCCAAAAAGATCTAGGCAATCCACTCTGCGTCATCATACACCGCACCTTCTCCAGCAAGGTACGGTTCAATCTCTCAGCCACCCCGTTCTGTTGCGGTGTCTCTCGAACTGTGAAGTGTCTTCTAATGCCGTGATCCCGGCAAAACTGCAGAAACGGATCACTCTTGTACTCTCCACCGTTATCTGAACGTAGAGTCTTCACCTTTCTACCTGTCTGCAGCTCCACTTTCTTTTTCCACTCCACAAAAATATCCAGGACCTGATGTTTATGCTTCATCGGGTATACCCAATTCCTCCTGGAATAATCATCAATGAAAGTGACAAAATAGTTGGCCCCACCAAGAGATGTGTTCTTGGAAGGACCCCAAACATCCGTGTGAATATAATCCAATGTACCTTGGGTGTTATGAACAGCGGTGTCGAACTTCACTCTAGTCTTCTTCCCAAGTACACAATGCTCACACAATTCAATCTTACAGGTCTTAGCACCTTTCAATAGCCCCTGTTTAGCCAATGACTGTAGGGACTTATCTCCTGTGTGTCCAAGTCTCATGTGCCATAAGGTGGTAGTGTCCTCCTCTGTAGTGATAGAAGCTGCCAGACCCCCTGTAACTGTCTTGCTCTTCAAGTAGTATAGGTAGTTTTCCCTGACACCTCGCATCACCACCATAGAACCCTTCGTGACCTTCACTGTAGCATCCTCTAAGATCACTCGATATCCTGCTGCCTCCAAAGTCCCAAGAGAAATGATGTTCTTCGTCAACTGCGGCACGAACCTCACTTCCTTCAATTCCCTCACTACACCATCATGCATCCTGATCCGGACTGAACCAATACCACCAATAGGGCATACGTGATCATTACCCATAAGCACGACATCCCCTCTTTCCAGCTCCTCAAAGCTAGAAAACCACTCCCTCTTAGGGCAGATGTGATATGTAGCTCCCGAATCCATCATCCACTCCGTGGAATCCGCATAGCAAACCGACGGTAAAGCAGGGCATGAATAGCCTGAAGAATCTGAATCTGAATGCTCACCAATAGCTTTTGCAACATTCACTTCTGAAGCTTGTGCAGCTTTCCCCTTATTCTTTCCGGCTTTTTCTTTCCACTTTGGGCAGTCAATCTTCCAATGTCCTTCTTCTTTACAATACCGATATTGATTTCTACTAACACTCTTATAGGCACTCCTATTCTTTGACTTTGAGCGGTTGAACTGACGACGGTTTGGATCTCGGCCTCGAACTGCTAACGCATCTCCCGATGCCTTCTCGGAGGGTTCACCATCACTCTTCCTCAACTCATAGTTCACCAAAGCTGAGGTCACCTCCTTGTAGCTAACTGTAGTTCTTCCATTGATCATAGTGAGAACGAACGTACCATAATCATCTTCGGGCAACGAACACAGAAGTAGCATCGCCTTGTCTTCATCCTCAACTATAATATCAACATTGGCCATATCTGAAAGTAGCTTAGTGAAATTGTTGACATGCTCCCTGATGGAAACCCCTCTCTTCATCTTGAACTGGTAAAATCTCTTCTTCAAGTGAAGCCGATTCTCAATGCTCTTCGTAAGATATTTCTCATTGAGTGTTTCCCACATCTTCTTCGCCGACGTCTCGTTCATAACATCATAAATAAGATCCGGCGTCAAGCATGACCTAATAACACCACAAGCTCTACTGTTCATCTTTCTCCAAACCTTATCCTCCAACTCAGCGGGTTTCTCTTTTAACTCAAGAGTCTCCTCCAAATTCTGTGCATCCAAAGCATCCATCACCTGACACCTCCACAATCCAAAATTGATCTTGCCATCGAACTTCGGAACATCAATCTTCGTGTTATTGATGCTCAGACTCTGTATCGCCTTTGTTAGAGACGAACCTGACGTGCTTGCATCTCCCATGTTGTCGATCTAGCTCTGATACCAATTGTTGTGCGCGGCGGAAGCTTTCTAGGGCAACACGAACAATAACTCGAACTAAACCACAAACAATATGCAAACCACAATCACAGCAAGAACACACAATTTACGTGGTTCGGCAAGTTGCCTACGTCCACGGGGCAAGGAGGGGGGAGTTCTTTCTACTAGAAATCAAGAGAATACAAATAGGGTTACAAATCTCTCAGACCAAACCCTAAAACAAAGCTCTAGATCTCTCAAAGCTCTCTCACAATTGGATGCAATGATTCTCTCTCTTTGGCTGCTCAAATTCGTCCAACCTCTACCCTAAACAAACAGGTTTAGGTATATATAGAACTTACACGGTCGACCGGACCGGTCGACCGCCGCCTGTTTTTCCTGATTCTGCTGCTGATGCTGAAATTCCTTCACATCAAACTTATCGATTTGTCTACGGTTTGGCAAATTTTGATTAATTTCGACAATTCTTATACCAAATGGCATATATATTTTTCAATCTTATATATTTCATTCACATCCATTTTGTTTCTATGTATACATATTGTTGACGTATATATCCCATCCGTATTCATATTTCATTTTGAAGGATATAGGCTACAATAATATTCTTCTACACAATGTGTATGTACATATTAATATGATAAATAGCATAACCGATCCACTTGTGCCTCAACAGTCGTCAATAGTGGGAAAATAAGCAAAAAACTCCATCTATGATGCCCAAAATTCAGCCTATATTTCTCATCCTAGGTGGATAAACAGTGCATAACAAGCCTGATGGAGTGAAATCAAAGACATGACAATATAATTAACAGCACAACAACAAAAATAAAGGACACGGAAAAGCACCAAACGATTATTTATTTGCAAATCCAACCCCCGGCAGCAATCTCATATCAAGCTCGACCGAGCAACGGCTCCTGCTGAGACCTCAACTGCTGATAAAACCTGCGAATGAAATCCTCAGCTTCTTCATCCACATTCTCTCCCTCCATCATCTCCTCCTTCAAAACTATCGGGCTCAAACTCGGCCCATGAAAACAAAAACTGTCCTCATGAACTTCCTCGTTGTCTAGCATCTCGAACGCTCTTGCGATTTCCTTAGCGCTCTCATAACGCTTCATCTTCTTTCTTTGGAAAAATATTGGAGTGTTCCTGCAGCTGAACTCGACTTCTCGGGGGACGTAGAAGGATTTCGTGGGGTCCGCATGCCGGCAGAAGAGGAGACGGGAGTCGAGGTCGATGATGAGCTTGTTGTGCTTTGAGATGCCCTTGTAGAGCATGTAGTAGACTGCGCGTATTATGTGCCATAGTCGCTTGGCTACGGGCTTTTGCGGGGCTTTGGAGAGTTTTGCAATTTCCATTTTGTTAGGGGTTTTTATGATAAACTGTTTGGTAGAGAGAAAATGAGGAGGGAGTGGTTTGAGTGAGGAGGCGGATGAGGGAGTAACTGGTACTTATAGAGGGGAGAAATGGATATGGATGTGATTATGGGGATTTTAAATAGGGGAATCTGATCGTATTTTTTATTTTTTTTAAATTTCTTATTGATAGAAATGTTGAAAAGTCTATTTAATGCGACATTAAAAATATTACAAACAGTGTCAAATGTTTAATGTTACAATTTACAAACAGATTTAAAATAATTAAAAAAAAAAGGATGCGAGTGATTAACAAGCTCGATAGAGATCATGGTTCAAAATAAAATAGACATATTGGTTAAAAAGAGAAGTGCTAATATTTTATGGAAGAATAGTGTTATTTTTATATGAGATTAATGTGTATCCTTGACAGTGAGGGGGATTCCCTCCTTGACAATGATGTGGAACAATATCTATCATGTGAAATTCTCTCCTACTTTATTCTCTCTTCTTCACATGGTGGAGATTGTGTCACATCATTGACAAGAAGAAAAATTCCCTCCTTATCAAGGATACCCATTAATATTTTCTTATATTGCCATATTTTATGGAAGAAAAATGTTATTGTTATATATTGCCAAGTTGTTTCGTGATGATATTTTTTACTCATGTCGTACATTGGAAAAATTACTATATTGGACTACAATAATAATGATGACGATTCGCTTTAAAAAATGATGATGATGCTAATAAGATATCACCATTTGATAATTTCATGGCTTCTCTAGCTATCACCAGCTAATGAAAAGCCACACTGGCCTTCATTAGCTAAGAGGAGTACATGTCACTCATAGTCTTCTCTCAGGAGGGTTATTCATTGGTGTAATTTAGGGGATAATAGAATAATTTTTAAAACATCATTTTTTGGTGTTATTCATTAGGGTAATTGGAACTGGAGTCAACTTTGTGGTGTTATTGGTTTGTTGGGGTAATTGGGGGACAAATACTCCACCTTCCCCTAAATTACACCAACTATATAAAGATCCCCTCCACCCCTTCCTCATAATTACCCCAAAATTACCCCATCCTCCATATTGAAACAATGTTGTTCCACTTTGAAGGCAATTGGAATAATTTTAAAATATTTTTGTATTACTTAACTAATACATGCTAATTATATTATAAATATATGATATGATATATAAAATATAAAATATATTAATATTTTAATAACATAATTTAATAATATATATTAATAATATTATATAATAGTAATTATAATATAACGTATTTATTATAATATTATATAATAGTAATTATAATATTACATTGAATAAAGTAAAATATTATAATACTTTATAAAGTACATTATATCCTATAATACTATATTATAATATATTAAATTAAACAATATATTATGAAAACATTATATTAAATATATTATTCATATATTATATCAATTATTATATAATGTAGCATACAAATACAATGTTAATTAGTAATTATTGTATAACATATTATATTTTTGTTTAAATAAAATAATGTATTATATTAAATATAATATTATTTAAATATTATATTAAATATATTGATATTATATTATATTAATTATTATATATAGTATTAATATTGATATTATATTATATAAATAAAATAATGTATTATATCAATCCTTGTAACAATTTACAGATGTGAGATCCTGATTCGGTATCTAATACCCAAGATGTAGGATTTATAGAAAAACAATTCTGAGTAACAAACACACCTGAAAATGAAGCAACAACTTGCTTATTCTTGATGTGTGAGGCTAAGAATTCTGGGTAGTTTCCTTTAACATTACTCAACTAGTCTATGAAATTAGGATCGGTTAATTTGTTCTGTTGTGATATGATTTTTAAGCCAGACATAATGGCCTGAAAGAGAGAGAAAAAATTATTTTAGCAGATGTTCAATACATAAAATAGATTTGGTTTATTTTTATCTAAGTTATGCCTCCCACTATTTTTCAAGTCCCTCAAAACCTTATAAGAGGTGATCGGAAAACAACCCCTTGTTTTCAAGTGGGATCAAGATCCAATTATCATTGAATGTATCAACCTTAACGAAAGCCAACAAATTGATACACTCAATAATTGGTAGACAACTTTTGTCTTTTACACTCTTATAATTCTTGATATGATTTTACCCCTAGTCTTTTATGACCTTGACGATAGCCAACAAATCATAAAAACTAGTCAAGTTTGGACCCATCATTTCTTGACTGGCTTAAATTTAACTTATGCAAACTCTTGAGGAAAGCCAACAAAATCGCATAACCAATTTAAGCTATCCTTATATCTTATATACAGATGAATAATACTTAGCCATAGAATAGTATTGCCTTGACGATAGCCAACAAACAAAGTATTTATTAGCTTAGTAGTATTCAACTGAAATGATGGAGGGCTACGGACGATTTCATAAATATTTTACCGTAATCAAACTTGATATAGTTAAAAGATTCTCTATATTTATACTTGTAATAATTAAACTAGCCAGGAAAGTGCAAGATTAGTGGGAGGGTTCTGAGCTATTCACCGAGAATGTTCATCGGACCTTAATTAAGTAACCACCGCTCTTTAAGACTATAACGCGAAAGATTGGGCATCACCCCTTATCTTAAGTTGAAATCACCCCATGAGTTATATCTCATAATCACTTTCCTAGACACTAGTTAAAATTTCGTTCTAAATACATCTCTTTTAACTGCTTTAGGTTTATTTATCTTTCACACTAACACTATGTTAATGTCGATCTCACCACTTTATGGTCAATAAACTCTTATTGCCATGTCTCACAAAGTTTAAAAATGAGTTTTTTATAATAAAAACTCTTCTCTAATGAGATAGAGATATAAACTTTGTAGAATACAGCACTCAATTATATTGACATCTACAATTGGGGCACAATCAACATATCAACATATGTAAAAGCAATATGGAATGGTAGTGGACAACTAAGGGAATAAAATGCAACTACACTAATTACATTTTGGCAAGCAATTTGCAACTCCTTACATTGCTAGCTCCCTTGCAAATCCTGTATTATTACATTCACATATACATAGGACGTGCAAGCCCCATTTATAATGGAAAAACCATCTCGTAGGATGGGTAATAATATTACATTGAATATAAAATAAAAGCCATAAATAAAATAACTAAACTAAATAACCATACCCCCCACCACACCCGAACAAGGGCCTATACCCATAGGCGTAGCCCATGATCGGTGAGTAAGTGCCAAAACCCATAGGCGTAGCCCATGCTCGGGGAGGGAAGAGGTCAAAAATAATATTACATTTCTAGCTATATTACATCAATACAATAAATGCAAGAGAATCGTTGTCCACTACCATCCATAAACATAACATCCACACAAGATGATATAAAACATATAACTTAATCAACATTAAGAAATACGCATCTATCTAGTTATGCAACAAATTGGAAAACTAGATAACATAGGGATTATCCTAACTCAAATAGGACTATCATGCTTCTAACATACAACTACACTAGTTGTAAATAAGTGTTTTGCAATTTATACAAGTGTTTTTACTCCTAAAAACATATGAACCAAAAATCACATTTTTGAATCAACAACTAGTATAATTAATTACAAAACAACTTGAATAAGAGCATGAAATACATAATAGGACCATCCTAATTAAATCTAACATAATCCCTACATTAAAGAGAGCATTCAAGAGTTAGAAAGTCATACTTTCGAAGCGTGATTCGATGGAAGATCGAATAACCCCTAGCTCTTGCTCCTTATAGTAGAAAATCTCCTCGTAGTGGATCTCCACGTCTTCAAGTGGTCTTGATAAAATGAGAGTCTTCTTGAAACACAAGGCAAGATATCCACCCCGGAGTTCTTAAAATCCTACTACTTCCTCTTACTCAAAGATTGCTAAAGTTTAGTAAGAGGGCTCTCTTTATTCTCTTATAGAAAAAACCACTTAGCCAATTTTTCATTAACCTTTCCATAAGAAAGAGAGCTCATATTTATAGAGTGAAATGTGTTCATGACATGAATGACTCATCCTATGAGTCATGCAATGAATCATCAAATATCAATGATTAATCTAGTGAATCATGCAATGAATCATCTTATGAATCATTACATTTCAAAACCATGTGCTAATAAACCATGTGCTCAAACCATACCACTAAATGACTCATCTCATGACTCATTATACATGGTATGTGTATTTCATAAATGAGAATACCAAATTATTATCACTAATACAGTATTTCATAAATACGGTATATAGTATTATTCCAATCTTTAACTAATTAGTCACTATATGACCAAATAAATCAAGAGTTGACCAAAAGTCAACTGTTGACCAAAAAGTCAACTAGTTGACTAAAAGTTAACTTTATAAGAAAAATACTAGAATTCATTTCCTAAGCACATAGCATTCCGATTTTATCGATATACATAACCGTTTATGTGTATCCGGTAAAATCATATATGCGTATCAATCATATGCATCACTCTATAAATTGTGTTTCATAGGATTCAAATACGCGCTTAGTGTGACTCTAGGGCCCAACTTAAGAACTCGGCAGTGGATCATATCCACAAGTACAACAGAGCTGCTAGCTACACATGAAGACTACCCGAGTATAAGTTGTGATAAATGTCTGCAAGATGCTTACACAATTTTATCAGGACCACTCAGTGATAATGCCGTATAGTTCGGTCTCTTCGTCAAACCATGTCAAACTATTAAGCCTAGGGTATGGAAAACTGTCAAACCCTAATTGCTCAATTAGTGTTTGTAGATATTAAACTCATAACCTATAAGATCAAACTGACACTCAGTTTATCTTATTTACCCCGGCCAAGGATTTCCAGGCTATAGTTATATCAAACAATCTTATGACATCAACCCTATACTGGGGGAGACGAATCCCTTCTTGGCATCTCAATATCTACTTATGTCTCGGGATGTACCCAACAAGAACCGTTATGCACAATTCAATAAGAACTGTGGTTAGGTAAAAGTCTAAATACATCTTTACTGACATATAAGATATTGCACTCATGC